CTGCTTCGATTCCTCCCTTGACGTCGAATCCAACGACAGCGCCGTTGAGATCATTTCTGTGGTATCTCTTTGCTAGTTCTCTTTGCGGGTGGCTATCTAGGCCTGGGTAGAGTACACGTTCAACTTTTGGGTGTTTTTCAAGGAATTCAGCGACGATTTTGGCAGTTTCACTTTGCCTCTGTATCCGCAGCGGCAGCGTCATGCTGGAGTTTAATGTGTAGAAAGCAGTTTGAGGGTCCATGATGCTGCCGCATATGTTTCTAGTGTAAGCTATTTTGTCATGTAGCTTAATAAAACGACTGATTGCAGCTCCCCCTGTCGTAATGTTGTGCCCATCGAAGTACTTGGTAGTGGAATGCAGAATAATATCTGCTCCGTATTCAAACGGGTGAATGATTTCGGGGGTGGCGAAAGTTGAATCAACGACGAACAAAATAGACCTTTCTTTTTCTCTCTTTCCACCTGAAAGGCTTTTGAGCAGTTCCTCCTCGGATACTGCATCTTCAGATGACGAAGAGGATTCAGTGGCTTTCTTGTTGCTCTGTTGTCGTTCAAGTTCCTTCTTGGCGATGATCATATCGATAGCTGCAAGGTCTGTCAAGTGCAGCGTAGGGTTAGCTGGCGTTTCAGCGAACACCATTTTCGTGTTGGGTTTAAAAGCTTTCTCGACTTGTGCTGGTTCTCTGAAATCCACAAAGTCAAATTCCACCCCAAACCGACGCACGTATTCATTTGCAGCTCTGTAAGAACCGCCATACAAGCATATAGGCATTATGCAGTGGTCGCCAGCACTGAGGAAGGCCGTGAGCACCTGAAACCACAACAAAAACACGCGAAACATACAACTTGAATACAAGTCAAGCTTGACTGGTATAAAACAACAGCCTCCATCTACTATGAGGGAGAAGCGGAAAGCGAGCTCCGCTTCCTTATCAGCACTGACCGGCATATGGTTTGATCTCTTATGCATGGAGGTGTTCTGCACTCTTTGTACTTCAGTGGAAAGCTAGTTAAGTTCTAGTCAAGGTATATATGCTAGGAGAAGAAA